CCCAGAGGTACTCCAAGCATAAATTTCCATTCACAAAGGACTTACCAGCACGAGACACATTTTCCCCACTCAGTCAAATTAGAGCTGAACCAAATCAGCTACAGTAACCAATCACAATTATATACAGTAAGAGCCTTTGACAGATCAGTCAGCACAGCACCCACGCTGTGACCTTGAGCAAGAAAGCCACGTGTAAAATTGGCAAACTTTACAGCGGGCTGTGGGTGGGTGGCAAGTGCAGGACATTCAGGGGACAAAAATAACTCATCTATCAAATACAGAAACATCTGGCTATGGACCAAAATTCTCCTGCAATTTACAGATTTAAGGCAGCACTAAAATAGGATAAGGGGTACAGAAGGTTTTAGTATTTTCTCCTTTATACAATGATGGCACTTTAATTTCTATTTTATCAGGAGATGGAAAGGGATTATACCTATGCCTTTAAATAATTTAGGAGCAGGATGCAGACTAGAACTGAAAGTTTACTTAATACATTCTTCCCAGCAAAATGGTCCAACTGCAGATTACCCTTCTATGATTTCTCCATCTGTGCCGGTCAGTCTCAGCATCTTTCTTCATGTATTTCCATTCTGTCCTTCTCAGGGCTTTGTGCCCGAGCAGTGGAATGCTGCCAGGGCTCATGCATTACAATGTCTTTTGTGTATGTTCACATTGGGTCTGTCTCCCCCAGCCTGGGTAGATAGCAATAAATAGCAATGTGGGGTTTGGGTCTCAGGCAGGGAGTTTGGGCTCTCAAAGCTAAGGGCTTAGATGGGCTTAAGAGTCTGAGATCCAGCTTGTGCCAGAACCCCCACATTGCTAGTTTTAGCATGCTAGCTCAGGCCTCACTAGCAGGAGTCTGTCTATAGGGGCTGAAGACCTGCTCTCTGCTGCAGTGTAGATATGCCCCAAGTAGCTATCCTATGGTTTATACCACAATGCACAATTTTTGAAATATACAGGAGGCAATATGACCTTTGATGCACTGGTCGGTTCAGTGGTGGTTTTTCTGTTTGGTTCATCAAGGGTTTGGTTTTGGTTTTTGTTCATCAGACTTTTTAATAACATTATGGGTCAGATATTTCAGCTTTCATCAATTAGATTGTGTGGCAAGTCACAGCTACCTTTTGTGAGATTCTTGAGCATACCGTAGCTGGTTTGAGTGGGGAAGGACTAGCAGATCAACCAGAATGGATGTAATTTACACACAGAAAGCTACACCAAAAGATAATCCATTTGTCAAATAGAGAGTAA